TTAGGTTTATTTTTAGCAATCACTACTTCCTTTTTGTCTTTTCCTTTTTCATTCTTAACCAATTTGATTTTGTTTTTTCTTAACAAGAGTACTACTTTTTTTAATAAAAGTTTCAAATTTAAAAATGTAAAAAATGCAAATGTTTTGTTACTCCCTACATTTATTACTGCAATGATGGATCATCTAGTTCTGTCATTATCCATTACACTTTTGTTCAGATCAATCTTCTTGTATGATATGTTATGATTGCCAATAAATGTAGAAAGAGTAGGGAAATTACCAACAGTACTGAACAATCCATTAATGAAAAACAACTCTATATCTGATTTTTTTTTTTTTACTTATACTGTAATTTTAAAATACATTGATATATTAAAAATAATTTAAAATAAGCATTGCTTAAACCAAAAAACAATTCTTCTGTTATGTTTGAGTCCAATCTTCAAATTTGGAGAAGATGATACAAAATCTCTGACATGAGAATTCCTTGTGCAACTGTGTTTAGCCTCTAATCTCATGCTCTGCAAATTCCATTACAAAAAGCAGCTTCCTTTCCCTCCAATTGCTTATTCATTTGCCACTCAGTGCACCTACTCATGGACCAAATTTCCTGATGAAACCCACTTAAGGGATCCTCGCACTGTTCATTTATTTTGTGCCAACGCCCTCAAAGTCTCCGCCAAATGGGCCCTTTTTCCTGAAGGAAAACAGTTGCATGCCCATTTGATAAAGTTTGGATTTTGCCATGTTCTGTCCCTGCAAAATCAGATTTTGAGTGTTTATCTTAAGTGTAAAGAAACTAAAGATGCACAGAAACTGTTTGAGGAATTGCCCGTTAGAAATGTGGTTTCGTGGAACATTATAATTCGGGGCATTCTTGGATGTGGCAATGCAGTTGAAAATGACTCGAATCAACAACTCTGTTTTTCTTATTTCAAAAGGATGTTGTTGGAAACGGTAGTTCCGGACAGTAACACTTTGAATGGTCTCATTGGTGTTTGTATAAAGTTTCGTGATATTGACTTGGGTTTCCAGTTGCATTGTCTTGCAGTGAAACTGAGACTTGATTTGGATTGTTTTGTTGGAAGTGTTCTTATTGATTTATATGCTAAATGTGGCTTGGTTAAGAACGCAAGGATGGTTTTTCATGTTGTTCCTCAAAGAGATTCGGTTATGTGGAATGTGATGATTTCATGCTATGCCTTGAATCGTTCACCGGAAGAGGCTCTGGGAATGTTCAACTTGATGCGATCAGATGGTGGAAATGGAGATGAGTTCACTTTTAGCAGTATGCTCAGTGTATGTGATACATTGGACTATTATGATTTTGGAAGGCAGCTTCATGGACACATTCTGAAACAATCATTCGATTCTGATGTGTTAGTAGCTACTGCATTGATTAACACGTATGCGAAAAATGAAAATATAACTGACGCACACAAAACATTTGATAGGATGGTGATAAGAAATGTTGTGGCTTGGAACACCATTATCGTTGGGTGTGGGAATTGTGGAGAAGGGAATGAGGTTATGAAGCTTCTGAAAGAGATGCTTCACGAAGGGTTTTCCCCTGATGAACTAACTATTTCCAGCACTATTAGTTCATGTGGCTATGCTTGTGCCATTACTGAAACAATGATAATCCATGCTTTTGCAGTTAAATCCTCATTTCAAGAATTTGTATCTGTTGTTAATTCTCTGATTAGTGCGTACTCCAAGTGTGGTAGCATAACTAATGCATGTCAATGCTTCAGATTAGCTGCAGAACCTGATCTTGTTACGTGGAGTTCATTGATAAGTGCATATGCATTCCATGGTCTAGCCAAAGAAGCAACTGAAACATTTCAGAAGATGCTATCTTGTGGAGTAATTCCGGATCAAATTTCTTTTCTTGGTGTTCTCTCCGCTTGTTCTCATTCTGGGCTTGTGGCTAAGGGGCTTCACTACTTTAACTTGATGACCAGAGTGTATCAGATTGTTCCTGAATCAGGGCATTATACCTGCCTAGTTGATCTTCTTGGAAGATATGGTCTTATAAATGAGGCTTTTGAATTCTTAAGGTCACTGCCAATGGAAGCTGAATCGAATACATTGGGAGCATTTATAGGATCCTGCAATGTCCACGCAAATATAGAACTGGCTAAATGGGCTGCAGAAAAGCTCTTCATCATAGAACCAGAGAAGAATGTGAACTATGCAGTCATGTCTAACATTTATGCTTCCCATAGACATTGGTGTGATGTAGAAAGAGTTCGTGGAATGATGAGGAACAAGGGTGATGCAAGAGACCCTGGTTGCAGCTGGATTGAAATTGGTAATCGAGTTCATTCGTTTGTATCAAATAATAAGACACACCCTAAAGCCTTAGAAATGTATGCTACATTGAAAATGCTACTTTGGCCAATGAAGGAAAAAAGTGGTATGAATTTGTGAAGGATACATCAGTCGGTGATCTACATAATGATTGTTGAAGTGTTAGGGTTCAGGTTCGATCGGATCATCTGGGAGGTATTTTATTCATCGAAGTTAATGTACATTGAATTTTAAATTACTATTAAAAGAGCATTTCTATTAATAACTACAATGAATCTAGATCTAGATAATAAAGAGAAAATATGTATATCAATTAGTCCATAAACATTATATTAAATAGGAAAGATAATAAAAGCAAAATGTGCTCTGACTCAAGGGATTCTATATTTTTGTTAGAAATTCAATAAATTGAAGTTACACGGTAAATAAAATTAGCAAGATGATTAATATATAAAGAGAAAAATTCATAAATTTATTGTTTTGTTTTGGAATGAGAATCACATATAAATCATTCATACTGAATTCGACTAATCTGTGTGACAATAAATTATATTAAAGATTAGTATAGGCTATTGAAATAAATCTTCAATTGAAGAACATAATTTTAACTTACATGTTGACTCTAGTGGCAGACTAATGAGAATTTTTGGATTAGATAATTGATTGGGTTTTAAAGTTGTTTTGGCATGAGCCGAACTGTCAATTTCTATATTGTTTGTATAGTGTCACTTTTATCTTTTGTTTGTTACTTTATGTCTCTCGTAAGTCAAAAATCATTTGGATGGTATATACAAAAGGTATATGATATTAGAGTAGATGATTGATCATAAGAGTATTAAATGATGATGCTTACAATCTTAAATTATACTTTTACTTATAACAATTGTTACGAATTTTTTCTTTTTTTTTTCTAATCATGATTCAATCATTTTTTAATCAACATTAGTAAGCTGATTCTTTATTATCATTGATTAAGTGTTAATTTGATATTTAGTTTATAATTGATCGATCTTGCCATTCAATTAAAGGGTGATTGACTAAAAAGTAGATTGACCTAAGAGTGATTAATAAAAAATATCGATCAAGAATGATCAACTCAAAATAATTAACCAAAAATAATAAATTAAATAGTAATCGATACAGTGATCAGTTAAAAAATATTGACCATAAATTAATCATTCAAAGATAATTGATAGAAAAATTATTAGTTTAAGAAGTTATCTGTTCAAAGAATATGTACCTTAAAAAGGTCATCTACTCAAAATTTCATTAATTGATGACATTTTAATTTACAGAAATTTTAGTCCAATGTAATCACTTATTACAATTTCAACGTATGATTTCCGAGTTCAACATTTTGTAATGAGTGGAAACTTTGTGTTCGTCAGGTTTGAATTCGTTATCGAATGAAACAATCATGCAGTCAACCCATTGTATCTGCATAAAGTTTATATCTTTTGAAATTTATTCATTCTGATTGAAAAAAAAAGTCTTCTACCAATTTTTCTATCATTTCTAAATTTTCTTTACATTCGAGATCTAAGCTAGTCCTTCTGATGTCTAGTATTTTTAATTTTTAATCCACTTAAAATTTTATAAGTGATTTCAAAGTTTCAAGATATTTTAAATCCATGACAATTTAACTGCTTCCATTTCTAAATATTTCATCATATACATATCTCATTTAAGGTATTATTTAAAAAAAAAACATTTTAGGTATGTTCTGAGATCTCTTCATTTTTCTTGAAAAGACAAACCCTATAAATTTCTCAACATTTTGAAAATTGAATTCCTCTTTTAGAATTCCCCAATATTTGCTTGAAAATCGAGGCCCATATAAAAAAAACATCAACTAATTGCATGTTTATTGTGATGTGATTGAACAATTATTTTTCAAAAACGAAAGAACACACGGGTCTTTCCGTTTAATTCATGGCCCATGAAGAAATAAGTTAGGTCGTAAAATTATCCACTTGTAATTAAATTAAATTAATCTGACTCAACATTAAATAACATAAAAAGATGAGGATATTCTAAATTGACAACTTAAGTCTAATCACATGTTTTGAAAATAGATTTTTCCTTAAGATTATGGTTTAAGGCGGAGTTGAAGTTTGTAACTCCAAAAAAATTGTAACCACATTGGAAATGATTTGAAATTGGAATATGAACATTGTAAGAAGTCAACAACCAATAAAATTTGATTGCGACCACCTTCAAATTGAATAGAGATGTAATATATTGTTTGAGAAAAATGAAATTAGTATACTCTATATCTCTAAGTAGATCAAATTCCCTGTTTATTTTTATAGATTATTAATAATTTATTCATTATTACATCATTTCATTTCATTGATAGTAATCAAAACCAATTAAACTACAATTTCATAGTAAAATTTTAAGTTTATTTTGCAAGGTTTCAATACAGTTAATTTGGTATGAAAATAAAATTTTAAATTTATTTTAAAAGGTTTCAATATATTTAATTTGGTATAGAGAATTATTTGATCAACTTAATTTGACTTGAGGATTTTATCAATTTGACTTTAATTAAATAAGTTTTTAATTGAGAAAACATCAACTTAATATCATTAAAAGTATTATTCATCAAGTCATCATTTACTCAGTCTTAATCAATATATCTATAATTCAGTCTTACTTGATTGATGTATTGTTTATTTAACCTCAATTAATTTTTTGTTTATTCTGTCTCAATTTTTTGATCCAATCTTAACTCGCAGTTAATTAACATGACATTTTCTTATCGGTTTTTATTGAGACATTTAATTCATTCACCAAATCTCAATCTAAATATTTTTAGTTTAAACTATAATAAAAGAACTTTTCATTCAATTTAGTTTGAAAAATTTTACCTCAATTTTCATTGAGACTCTAATGACTTTGAACTTACACTACTAATGTTTATATATATATATATATATATATATATATCAAAAACATTACATTTGGAATGATAATAGGACTAGTCGAGTTTATCTATTATTCGTCACTTTAAAAAAAATAGTCATTATTCATTTTGTTACTTGTTAATATCCGTGAAAAAATACATGTTATTTTTTAATACTAGTAGGTTTTAACATCACATTTAATAATAGAAAATTATTAAATAAAATATTATATAATTGATAATCCATAAACAATTAAAATAAGACATAAAATTACAATTTTACATTTATCCAAAATAAACCATACTTGCGTATAAATTGTTTTATTACAAAGTTTTTCAAATGATAGAAACAAAACATAACGCCTAAGATCATATATCTATACAAATGCATCAACATCTCCCTCCTAAGGTAACTTAACACTTGTTTCCTCATTTACTCACATTAGTAAAGGTGATCATTGAAAAAGAAGAACAACAAACATAAGCAACACCAATACAAAAAAGGGTAAACTAATTTAAAAAGAGAACATGCATACAACAAGTAAAAAGATTTCATAACAAAACTATACAACTCAAATAGTAAAAGATAAATAAAAACATACAATTAAAGACTCTTATAAACTCAATTATCTAGAACATATATTGATATCAGATTCATTAGAGATATGACTTGTGGTGACCTTTATTGCTCTGTAGAGTCATTACCAATGAATTTCACCCTAACACTCACAAGGTTAATCTCTTTTACGTCTTAGGCCAAGGAAAAATCCATAGACTAGGACTTCTTACTACTCTCACCATATAATTCATTCTACTTTATATGAGTGTGAATGCTTATTAGAGTGTTATGATATATCTTTGCTTAAATTCATACATAAATGCATACACTAAAGAAACATACATCAAAAGGATTTCCTTTTCAGAATCCTGTAAATTCTCTTCATTTCATACCTCATCAACATACATATTTTACACTTCATATCACACATTCTAAATTTTATTGGACAAACTTAATAACACGTGTACAACATGTTTGGGATTCAAAAAGTAAAATTGCAGCTTCCACAAAGCTTAGAAAATCATTTTCCTAAATTCAAATTAAAGACAATTGAATCAAGAATATAACACTCACATAAACATACGAGTTAGAGAGTCTTAGGTTCCTACTACTAGTTAATCACAACTGAACATGCCCATTAGATCATATAATTACAATCAATTTCATAGTCATCAATATAAAAGGAAGTCAATCAACGAAATCATAAATTAGTTATAATTAATTAGCTTCCCCCACCTTAAATGAGTCATACAAATTTTAACACCTTCACACGGCTTCAACTCCCCGAAAACCTACTACACCTACAAGAAGAACAAATAAATTATATGAGGACAACATGCAACCTAGAAAAGACTAAGAAGAGTAGAAATGCATATTCAATTCTAAGAAAATATAAGACATAAAACTTACTTTATACACATTTTTTATTGGTGAGAATTTGAGAGCTCTCTGTGGTGACTCCAAAATGACCTTTAATCAAGAAGAAAATGAGATTATATGAGATATTCAAACCTAAAAGGTGGATTGGAAGGGAAGAGTCTACTATAAAGAAGGGGTTTTATATAGTACCTGCATATATTTTTATATTTTATTTTTTAATTTTTTTAAAAAACTTATTTAAAACCAAATCTTTAGAATATAGATTTAGATAAAAATAATAATTTTTAAGTACAGGTCAAATAAAGATACTCAATAAAATATTAATAAAAATAATTTTGGTCTTTATAAAAACCAAATTTAAATAAGTTGTATCCAAATATCATTTTTAAAATTAATATTTTCCTAAATAAATTTAATTTCATAGGCACAAAAAATATAAATAAAAATATGTAAAGTTAAACTTTAAATTATTCTCCCATTATTAATATTTGTTTTATTAGTAATTTTATTTTAGTAACTTAATTTTAAAAAAAACTCAAATAAAATATAATAATAACTATTAGCGGGTAACAAGTATTTACGGTCGAATGTTAAGATATCCATATCTGCCACATCAACTAACAAGTTAGTAAATACATGTATCCATTACTTAGAAGTAGCCATTAAGAATACTAATTTAGTATCTAGCACAAAATTTTACCAGTACATGCGGGTACAAGGTTTTTTACCGTCCTATATCACATCATTAATTGAAATTAAACACACACACGCATATATATAACCTTGGTAGATTGTGACTATTGTTTTTACTCTACTTGGTCTAACACACATCCACATTCGA